TAAAATTGGGAAAGGTAGATTTGGAATAGTTTATGAAGCTAAGTGGAAAGGCGAAGGACTGATGGTTGCACTCAAGAGTTTTAGTGAACGCCCACATAAAACGATTGAAAATACATACATAGATCCATTCGAAAGGTATAATTATTGTTATTGATTCAAGTGTTGCTGCAAAAAATTATAGCTTTAAAGAGAGTTTAAAGAGTTTATATTGCGATAATAACGATATCCATCTGAATAGATTTATTAATGAAGTATTGATAATTTTATAATACCATGAATTTTGAGTCTTCATTTACGCTTTTATTTTCGTTTTTTTTCTGTTTTATTGCATCCTATAAAATACTTTAAGATTAAACTTATTACTAAAGTTTCACATCATGATAATATAATACGATTCTTTGGAATCACTCAAGGTATATTAATTTTAATAAGTGAATAAACTCTATCAATTAATAGTTTCGTTTAAATTAGATCAAAAGCTGAAACATACTATATGGTTCTTCAATTTGCTAATAAAGGCAACCTTCGTTGCTATTTACGCGATCATTTCTCAGAATTAGATTGGATAACTAAGATTAGAATGGCAAAAGAAATTTCTAGTGGGATTAATTGTTTACACAATGCAAATATTGTTCATCGTGATCATGTAAGATGCTTTTTCTGCTTACCTTATTTCTCTTTTTTATTATATCCATATTAACAATATTATAGCATGATAGGAATATATTAGTGCATGATGATAAATTAATGATTACAAATTTTGGCTTATCTAAATCATTAGAAGATAGCTCAAAATCTATAAGTGATGAAACATGTGCCTTATCTGATCGACGATTTCTCAAAAGCTCAGATACATATAAACGAGATAAACCTTCTGATATCTATAGTCTCGGTATACTTTTCTGGGAGTTATCAAGGTGTACCTCTTTTTAACAATAAATCTGATGCAACAGAAATAACATCACATGTTATTAGTAATGGAAGAGAAGCTCCTATTGACGGAACTCCAGTTGATTTTATAAATATTTATTGTGATGCTTGGAATGGCGATCCAAATTTACGTCCTAGCATAGCTAAAATCTGTAATAAATTAAATAATATACGAATGGATCCAGCTTATCATAGTAAACAAGAGATTAATGACCCAGCAACTGCCCTTAAGCTTAAACAAGAAATTGCCTCTTTAAGAGAACAATTAGCTAAAGCTAAAAGTGGTGTCAATAACGTAACTCCATCTTCGCATCGTTCAACAGAAGGTGAATCCTTGATGTCAGCAGGTATCACAACGCTTAAACCTCCATCAAAACGAAGGCCTCGTCGACATAGTTCATTCCAATCATGGAGCCCTAATGAAGTTACTAGACGTACATCTAAAACATGCATTAAATTTTATAAGAAACTTTAACACTATGTAAAAGAATAAATTGTTATAAATTTCTTTCTTATAATTAATAGATCATGAGACTTGTAGATGATGAAGCGCTTGATGATGAGATTATCAATAGGTTGATCAGATCCTCAAAAATACCTTTTCCATCTTTGGGATTATCTGAAAAAGAAATATTGTTTCCAGCTCGAATTATCAGTCTTGTAGCGAAACAAATGTGGAAATATGGATTTATAAAAGAGTCTGAAAGACTATTTGCGAACGTTATGAAGACCATTCAGGACCATGTCATGGTATGTCAGATGCATATTTAATTCGTTGCACATTTTTCTTGAATAATACTCTTATATTTTATAGGATTTTGAAGGAGATGATTCAATTCTTCCAGGAGCATATTAGATTTCTAATGTGCACGAATTATTATCATTTGCTCACGAATTATTATCATTTGCTAATGTCGCTGAGTAAGATATGTTGCATGGAGTTGATCTATTATTCTCGCTCGGATAACTTTTTACTTTATTATGAAGAAACAATATGGGAGTAGTGCTCTCCGCTGCAAATCACGCATATCACGTGACGAAAAAACAAAGAGAATAGAATGCAAGTCGTGGTCAAAGAGAAACTATCCTACGTTATTCATTAATATCCCCTTAGCTTATTTACATCATCTCTCTTACTCATCCTTATTCATCTTCCATTCCACTTTCATTTCCATTTTTCATTTTTATTCTTTTCTCTCTTTTTTTTTTTTTTTTTTTTTTCATTTACTAGCAACCTAGCAATATTCAATTCTGTAAATTTCAATGATGCCCACGCATGGTGCAGCGATCATAGTCACATTCTGAAGCCAAAGTTCACATATTTAAGGTAATGCCCACGCAAAGGTGTGGCGATTTTCAGGGATACTCACGCGAAGGTGCAGCGATCCTTAGTTATATTCTGAAGTCAAAGCTTTGTCAAATTTAAGATGATGCTCACGCAAAGGTGTAGCGATTCTAAAGGACGCTCACGCAAAGGTGCGGCGATCCTTAGCTCATCATTCTATCCCTTCTTCATTCATTCATTCATTCATTCATTTTTCATTTTTTATTCTTTTCCTTTTTTTTTTTTTTTTTTTGGGTGAGGGGGGTGGACTAAACACTAAGAGCCAGATATCAATCGGGTAGCGAAAGAATGAAGCACTAAAGATTATCTTCCGCCTACTTTCCATAAAATACCTAACTCAGGTTACGCAAGGCTAAATCACAGA